TTAAAGTAGGTAAAATAAAGATCTATATGGTTTTCATTGATTCATATAATTTTTTCAAACAACTATTTTCGTTAACATTTGTTTTGAATACGATAAGTAAAAAAGGTAGTTTACAACATTTTCCAACGTTTCTTCTGTACCATAACAGTTTTTAAGTTAACAACGGTCTTTCACTCTACATTTTTTATTTTCAGCTTATAGATAGAAACGATTAATGATCAATGTAGTTTTAGATGGTTCTACTCACTGCTAAACTATTCCTCACTCAACTTAACACACACACACACACGCAGATAACAGCAGTGTTAACGACGGGACATCAGTTGTTCTAATAAAAAAAAACAAGATACGCACTATCACTCTTACTCAACAGTAATTACACTTAATTTCAAAACGTTAATGCTCACGAAACTATTTAATGTTTGCAGTGCTTAGTACAGTCAATAATATTAAATTAATTAAAAATTTAGTAGATTAAATGAGTATTTAGAAACAGTGTTTAGAGATGGACAGTAAATAGGTATTTAGAAATGAAAAAAAAACAAACAAATTTTTTTTGTTTTCACTGAATAACTTTCAATTGTTCCTCATTGCTTATTTATTTTTATATACAATTTATTCTTCCAAGTAACATAACAATTTCAACAAATTTTCTTTCAGTAAAACCAGTCTGCTACCTCGATAAATTTTTTACATTTGGTGATATCGTTATATTGGTTAGGTGTGGTAAAGCATCATCTTCACGTGGCAAAACAGCGCTATCCGTGGAGCAAACAGTAGCAATTGTTTTCTGAGAATTTCTGGATGAAATCTTTACAGACGTAGACCTCAAGCCGCTGCGATACAAAATCCATCTTCGCAACTAAAATTACAAAAGTTGGTTGAAGTCGATAATATTGTGGCTGAAGCATTTTTGGAATTTATTTTGCATGACTTATCTGTTAAAAGTGCAAATTTTTTTGCCAATTGAAGCAGAGGGCAGTTAGCGCATAAAAATTTTCACTTAGTATTAAAAAACTTACTTGAGTATCGATCATAAATCCAATTATTGGATCAACGATAATTCGTAAAAGCAGTGTAGATCTGAAAGTTCACACTAATAATGCTGATTATTTAAAAGTGCCAAAGAAAGAAAAGTAGAGATATTTTTGTTATTTCTATAAATACTGATCTACTGCGAAGGCAAATTTACTAATGATCTTACGTTACAGTTGGGTCAGTTGTACGACACGAAAGCTGTAAAATAAAGCTTAAACTTGCAAGGTTTTGTAGCTTTCCTTTAAACCGCCAATTTTTAATACCTGATTATTCCAAGTTGACGCATCATTTCTGACAGGTTCAATAAAAAATGACAGTGATTTGGTCGAATCAGGATACTGATGCTCCAAAGAACGTACAAGAAGTTCAGAATTGTAAAAGTTCCAACGTTTAACGATAATTTCCACATGGGAAATCTAATTTTTAGATACAGTTTTTCCTTGTTAGACCTTTGTCGAATTAAACGAGTAGTCATAAGGGCTCGCTTCATCAAAATAACTTAAAAAAGCAGTACGATCATTTTATATTGCTCAAATTTTATGCTTTTAAAAAGCTATCAAGCAGCAACAAATAATCCTTACTAATAACAACATATGCCGCAATTGTGGTTGCGTACATCAAAACCACAAATGAATTTCTGACACGATACATATGTCTCAAGCAAGTTTCCACTTGACATCCGGACCATTTACTCAACAACGGTACTTTGACTAAAGCATTGACAATCAGCGTAGTTGAAGCCATTATCAAAAACAGTATCCAGCTGAAAATAGTTCGCTCGCCACAAATGGTACACTCAAATACACTTTAGGCTATAATGTAAAAATTTATCTGAGCTTATTTGTATGACTGCTCTATTTTTTCGCAATCTTAAGCTGTAATTAGGTTTCTTATTTTTAACTTAATTTTAACTAGCGTAAGTAATGTGTGAAGCAATATTTTTTGCTACAAATTTGTCAATTTCGTAGCACAACAATTTCTTTAATGTAATGATGACGATTAGAAAGAAAATTCTAAAAAATCTGCTTTTCAACCAAAAACTGGTTACAAGGAAACAGAGCAAACAAGCGGAAAAGAAAACACCTCATAGCGATAAGCCTAACGCATCGTTTCATAGTAAATCGTTGTTTGTATTCAAATGGTCTCCATACTGCATAAAGTTTAATAATACTTATGCTTACAAACGATACTGTTGCTGACCAAAAGCCACCAATAAAGAACGTCTCAAGAGCTGCCATAACGTCTTTGCTAAAAATACCAAAAAGCTGAGTAGTAAGTCCAAATCTTAATTAAAAACTGTTGAAAACGAACTAGTAAGCTCTCTTTTACCTGCAGCTCTAAATCTGTTTATAAATTTACAAAAAATGATATTCTAAAAAAAGCTTCGTTTTTTTGTTGTTTTTTTTTAGTAAACAATTTTAAACGCGTAAAAGTACTAAACTGAAAATGTACAGTGAAACAAAAAATTTTTTAGTGATTTTTGAAAGAGTCAATAAAATGTGATATCTGAGAAGTCTTTTTCTTTCAAGTTTCTCAGTCAGTGACAAACACGATTAAGTTACCTAATTGTCCGAGCAACCAAAACATAGATAGCTGTACTAATAGCTGAACAACTGCACAGTATATCACCGATCGATTTGTTTAAAATTAATAAATAACATTTTCGGCTAACTCGTTTCAAGCGAATTGCATGATATACAGCCATAATGTGCAGCGTTGTTAACAGAAGTCCACAGAATGCCACTGGTAACGGAATCCAACCAAAATATATGTGATAAACCGTATCCAGGTCTACTTTGCTAGTTCTCTGAAAAATACGTAAGGCCGTACTGTCACTGTTTAAATTTTCCAGTAATAAATGCACAAGAAATAAATTATTCAAACAAAAATTTCAGAGTCAACAACAAATTATTTGCTGTTGAAAAAGACAAAAAAAAATGTAACAAATAAGTGGTACTTCTGTTAAAGGAACAAGTAAGATAATACCTGAAACTCTTCTCTTTCCACATCTGTAAAATTGGCAAAGCAGTAACTTATCGCATTGGTCGTCATCATTGGCATTTTGATGATTAGTTCGTTAAGCTGAATTGATCACAGTTACTCAATAATTCTTTTTATTTTCTATACTTAAATTACAACGATAAATTAATTGTCTTTGGCGACATCTGTATACCGACCTAGTAGAACTTCTAAACAAGAAAGAAAATAAAAAGCCACAATAAATGTCCGTGCTGTTGCTAGACGAGCGGACTCACCATAATTGTTCGATTGCGCGATACAGTTTCTCTATAATTCTATGTTAATTTAGATGGGACAGCAAAATTGAAATCTTTTTGATAATTTTTTGGTAACAGATCAATTGAGAAATAGGTACAATGCAGGTTTTTAGTTGTTTTTTGTTTCCATATTTTCTGCAACAATTTATAACTGCTTCTGAGGAGGTAACTAATTCGGTTAAAATCTTTA